CCCTTTTTGATTTTTTATTGGTGGTGGGAAAAGCCAGGTCAATTAGCAGGTATAATGATATAAGGAGATAGCCTCAAATGATCAGTGTATATTGAAAGATAATTCAAAACAGTATTAGATTTTTTCAAGTTCAAGGCCTTTGAAAGATATTGGACAACCTTTTACAGCAGTTCCCCATAAAGCTTGCGTTTGCAAGCTCCTAGTGACCCTTTTTTTTACGCCTTACTTTTTTTGCGCCTCACAACCTGTACAGGTTGGGAAATCTGTTATCAAGGTCTTGCTTGGGTCCTGGCAACCTGGCAGTTGCCGGGTGGGGGCCATGAAGAAGTTTTGACCGCCAGAGAGAGAGAAGAGAGGGAGAGAGTGACCTGTATTTATTGATAAACTCACGAGGGGCTCTGAGGATGTCAAGGTTCAAAATGAAGAAGAACCGATGGTTTGATTTCCTTGTGACTAGCTGATTTAAATAGACTAGTTACAAGTGTGGCCAAAATGTGGTTAGAACAGAAAAGAATATGAAAGAAGAAAGAAACCAATTCAATATGATATGCATCAACAAGAGAGTTCACAGACAAAAAGAGGAGTTTTAGCCAGAGAGCTGATAAGCCCTTTTTCTTCAGGGTTCTTTGACTACAAGAAGGAGGGTCAGACATGCATAAACTAGACCAGAAAACAGAATATAATGAATGAGAAAATCAGGTGATGAGATCAATAATATAAGTGATTTTTGGTGTGAGTAAAGAATAGTATCAGAATTTCAACAGGCCAGGCATGGACCAACAAAAAAAGTGAGAGGATTCTGATGGTCCAACTCCTGACTTCTCAACTCAAAAAATGTGGGAGTCAGAACTCAATGTCTGGAAGACTGTTTCTGTACACGGTCTGATACAGGACAAACAGGCGCAAAAAAAGAAAAAGATTAGGATCCCAGGAGCTTGTGACTGCAAGCTTTATGGGAACTGCTGTGTGTAAAAGTATTAACATTGTGAAAGGAAATTACAATTCAAATGTAGGCCGATGCATTCATAGTAAGCTTCATTGAGATCTTCCGGTCAATGTGTGGAGATCCAAATCTTAAAGCATTTTGAATCGCCGCCTCAGTTCCTTTGAACTTCTTCTTGCATTCTTTAGCGACAATACCTCGAAATTGATCAAGAGTAGTGGATACCACAGGGAAAAAAAAACTAGGAACAGGTGTTTGGATTTGATCATGTTGCACAAGCGTCCTGAGGTTTTGAGGCATCCATCTGCAGGGAACACAGCTTGTAGCTGGTGTGGCAATCAACCATTTGAGACTGAATAACAAAAAAAATCCAGTTCATGGAGCCCAAAATATTAAAAACAACCTGGCTGACTGTTAAGTTTACCGGTTGTTCACCAACCCCCCCTGAATCTGTCAGTGTTTGCAAGCAGAACAGTAACCTGGCAGCGGGCTTTCTCTTCCATGGAGGTCAAGACCAAAGCAAGACGTTTTGGCAACTAAGGTGGCTGTGAAAAAAAACAAGTAAAACTTGTTGCTTCCTGGTGTTTTTGGTGGTTTTTTTGCTTGTAGGATGAATTGAAGCCTACAGGCCACCAATAAAAATGAAGTACAGTGTGGGGCTGGAGCTTTCACCAAAGTGGAAATTAGGATTGTGATCATGGATGTTATTTCACAAGGAATAGAAAACAAAAAAAAGAACTCAAAATCATCAAACACAATGATTAATTTTGGACCTGTACTGCCAAACTTGGAAATCTGTCTGAGCTTTCTTCAAAACACACTCAGTTTTACTCAGACAAGTTTGACTACTGGATTCATTAATGCGGAGAACGAATTTTATCTCCTCTCAGTTGGTTCTCATTGGTGCACCATTGTGGATCTATAAAGACCCCTTCAGAAGCTTATAGTGGATGACTTCCCATCAACATCTGCGGGTCTCCCAGTTTCCATTTAGAGCCGAAAAAGCTAGATTTCCCTGCAAAATCTAGACTTTTTGGGTCTAAATCGAAAACTGCGAGGGTCCCGCCAGATCCGGCGGGAAGTCCTCCAGTGTGTTTCTATATTACCATCATCAAAAAAAAAAAAAAAAAAGAAACTTACTCTGAATGTATCTAGTGCCAGGGGCAGCATTCACGATCAAATTCAAAGACCATTTCTAAGCCATTAATCCTGCTCACAACCTTATAAAACAAATTCCAGATGGACAGAAAGTTTAGAGAGAAAGTACCCACTTATAAGTTAATAAGCCTGACAAACGCAAAATGCAAAAAAAAATTGTGACATCTAAAGTTGTCCGCAATAATTAACAGCTTCAAGCAAGGCTCTCACGTTCAATGAAGACCCCCCTGCCCAGGCCCCTCCAAAACTCTTCACTTGCAGTTCTCATGGTCTCTTGTTCCTGAACATCATGTCATAAATTGGTCTACATGCAAAATATGATGTGTTATATTGAAGGGAAAAAAGGACAGCAAAAAAACAGTAAGAAAAAAAAACTTCTTTTTGGAGTGGTGGTGGTGCTGCTGATGATGATGGGTAGTGAAGAATCAATCAAGGAAGAGAAACATGTTTCAAAAACAATGAAGCCAAACATCCCAAACACTGATTGAATTTGAAGAATGTTGTAATGTAGATGTGCTGCTGTGAAGTGTATGTATCGATAATCTGTGATATGTGATATGTGATATAATTCAATGAGATGTTTGTTTTGTTTGAAGAAAAGAAAAGAAGCGGATTGATGAGAAGCTACAAACCAAAGAAGACATACTAATGCTTCACAAAAAAAAACCTCATTGTCAAAACAAAAAAAGGTGAAAAAGGAAAGATATGGAAGAAGAAGAAGAAGAAGGAGAGCGAAATATGGAATCCAGCACATATATGAACGAAGCGACTTAGAGAAAACAAATGAAGATGGTGGTGATGTTGATTGGAATGCAGGTCGAGACGAAGAGCACATACTTTTTTTTTTGTTTTCACATATACATGTGAGTTGAAAGATGAGTATATATGAAAGGCATTGGGTGTTAGATGAAAGACAAGAGAGAGAGAGAGAGTGAGAGAAAGGGAGAGATTGATTGCGCGGTTGAAATGCAAGGATGATTTGTTTGTTTTTTGAGAAGACGACAGGAGTTATCAAGGTTTCGAAGCGGACGAATTGAGTGGATGAAGAAGATGATGGGGAGTGAGCCCGTTGGATCGGATCTTCAGCTTGCCTTCTTCCACCGACATCTTCCTCGTCTTTCCATTCTTAGACCGGATCGTCACCGTCCCATCCTACATCCCCCCAAAAAAATTCATAAGCACAAACCATTTCGTTGGTCTTTTTTTTTTTTTTTCTTTTTTCTTTTGGAGTTCAATTGTTTGTGGTGAGGGAGGAAGGATGGGGAAACGGCTGGTTAGGATGGCTTACCGAGTTGCCGAAATACGCTTCCTGAGCCATCCCGCAAAACAGGCCGACTTCCAAGACCCCTGTCAACCTGGAAAGAACCCACCATCCATCGTAGGCAACACACAGAAAGATGAACGGTCAGTTTACTGGGGAATCTTTCTCTGGCTGTCTTCTGGGATAACCGTTTTGTCTGTGTAGTAGTAAAAGTCAAGGAGAATGATGATTTACATTTTTAGTCGGTAAGATAGTTCGCTAGGATCTCGCATATAGATATCGTCGAACGGGGCATCGATCACGAAGTTTCTGTCGAGACGACGAGAGCGAGAGAGAGAGAGAGAGAACAACGAGTGAGTGCTCTGAATGTTACGATGATCGAAGGGTTCGTTCATACCCGTTATCGGTGACCACTGGTCCGGCTTTCGATTTACCCATTCTGAGAGTCTGTGTGTGATGAGCAGTAAGCCAATCGTGATACGAAGAAGAGAGAAGAAGAAGAAGCAGGAGTTCATACGGGATGAGGACAGCCCATGAGCTGGATATTCGACATGACTTTAGCCCAAGCGAAGGGGACGACCTCGATGGGCACGCCGGCCCTCCAATTAGTGCCCAGGAGAGCCGAGTCCTTGCGGGCGTCGGCGACGAGGATGAACTTGTCGGCGGCCTCGGCAAGCACCTTCTCCCGCAGATGACACGCCCCCCCGCCCTTGATCGCATTCAGATCCGCATCCACCTCGTCCGCCCCGTCCAGGGTAATGTCCAGCCGCGGGAATTGGTCCACATCTCCCAGGTTTAGGCCCGCTTTTACTATCAGCTCTTTCGATTGAAAGCCCGTCGGAATGAACCATCTGTGTACAAAAAAAACAACAACCAATGCAGTCTCAGTTTGTGTTGTTTGGGCGGGACTGTTTGGGAGTTTGTTTACCTTGATTCATTTGTTTCGTGGCCCTGTTGTACGATTCGTTCTACGACATAAGGCACAGTAGACCCGCTCCTAGAGATCCCATCAAAAATAAAAATAAAAGTCAGATGAGATAGATACAATAGGGGTGATGAGAGGAGTACCCGATTCCGATGACCCGATGGTGGGGGAGGATGTGCTGGTCGACAGCGGCATAGGCGGCGAGTTGCTTGGAGGCCTCGATGGGGTCGAGTCCTTCTGGGTTTGTGGCTGGGACGGACTGGCGGGTCTGGAGTTTGGGGTCTGGCTTGGAATGGAGTGGTGCGGTTGAGGCTTGTGAGAAGGTGTTGAATTGGCCGGTCATTTTTTCTTTTTGGTTTTTTCTTTTTGGTTTTTGTTGATGGTGGGGTGGAAGGGAGCTTGTGTTTTTTTTTTTTTTAATCTGGGAGTGATCTGAAACAGCACAGCTGTCAGCACAGCATCCAACCACTGACTGACTGGACTGAAATGAGCTGATGATGGTGATGATCAGCAGTCGCTGCTTGCTGCTACCTCCGATCCGAACTGGCCACTTCAGCCTCACTCACTCCAAAACCCAAGCTCATCCTCATCCCACTCAGAACGCCGACCTCACCGGACTGCCTCCATGCACAGCAACCAACCAAAGCAAGCAAGCCACACCATCCTCAGCCCCGATCGATCTGGATCTCCGAAAAAATTCAAATCTAAAAACCTTTCATCCCTGATGACTGTTGACTTGCACATAAAATCGAAACAAGAAACTGTTCAAGGTACATGTCTATGTATGTATAGGGTTGGATACAGCAACTGCTCATCTTGGCACTCCTAATTAAGCACAGCTCTGGACTTGACTCTTAACCGATTACTTTATGTATTGATGTATGTAAAAAAAAACAATTGATACACATTTCTCTAGCTATTTTAATCAATCAATCACACACACAAAAAAAAAGGAACAATAATCACACAAACCCTCCCCAAAAACTGATAGTTCATATATCCCAAAGATTGTAAATGTAGCTGAGACAAGCGTAGACCATACTCGTATTCAAGTGATGAGAAAAAAAAGAAAGTTTGGCTCCAATGCAGAGAAAAGGAAGGGGATTGTAAAGCATTGGATGAGGAGGCATGAGATGAATGGACCAAGAAGAGTGAATCACCGGGAATGAATCGAGTTCAAGTCGCGCTTGTTTTCCTTTCCTTCAGCCGCAGCAGCAGCAGAAGAAGAAGTGGCAGGAATCTGTTTAAGATTCTTATTAGAAGGCCGTTGAGATTTGCGCAGATCGACGAAAGATTGGAGGAGGAGTTGACCATCCTCGACGGCGGCGAGCCAAGGCGCCAAGATCTTCTCATCCACCCACTGGACAAAGGCCTCCTCCTCCTGTCTGGCCCGATATGCAAAGTACTCATTCAACGGCATCTGCCCCTCCTCTTCTGTCAATGGCGGGAACGGACGGGAAGGGTTGTAAGGGTTCGGCAGCCAGCCCTCAGGAAGCGTGCCCGGCTCTCGCGCCAGATACTCCTTCAACAATCCATCGATGTTCACTTGGTCAACCGTCGCCGGTGCCTTCGTGGCTTCTTCTTCTTCCTCCTCCTCCTTATCTTGTCGACCCGCAGCCTTGGCTCTCCGCTCTTCGGCACCTGGTGGGCTCCTCGGGCCGGCCGTTGAGTCTGCCGCCGGCTTCTTGGCTGCAACCGGTACAGGATTCGAGTCCAGTGGCGGGGCTTGCGGATGGAAGCCTGGGAAGCGTGATGGCGCGAGCTCCTTTGGACCCACAGGCTTCGACTTCTCTAGTGGAGCTGGGCCAGTCGGTCTAGCCGTCGAGGCCGCCCTCTTGGCCGCAACCGTTAGCAGGGTGGGGTACAGTTGCGGCGCTTGCGGGTTGAACCCTGGAAAGAGGGATGGCATCAGAGCCTTCGGACGCGTCGTTGATTGGTCTCCCTCCGGTGAGTGGATCTCAGGACTCTTCATCAGCTTCTTGTTGGGCGCCACTTGCGGTGGAGCTTCGGATCTAAGACTTTGTGAGATTGGTCCCTTCTTCCTTCCAGGTACTCGAGTCTTCTTATTGCTAATCTCTTCTTCTTCTTCAACTTTCGATTCATCTCCCCGACCGACGGTTGAAAGTTCTCGTTGATCAACTATCGTGTTTTGGCTACGACTCATCTGACGAACAGGGCGATGATCTTCGGTTTCACTGCCGAGTACCGAGGAGGGCTGACTGGGTTTAGTAGTTGGCTTCTTTTGTCGCTGGGTTTTTTTAGGCTTCACCACCGGTTCCTCATCTTCCGTCGGAGACTGAGACTGATCTTCACCGTTCCGGTTGATCGTTTGTCGGGTGATATTATCGATAGTACTAGACGCGTTTGAGCTGGCTCTCGTCCTAGGCCGATTGACTGTATTGGAAGTGGTCGAACGATTGCTAGTGGGGGCCGATGCTCCCTTGGAGGTTGATCGAGATAGACGCGTAGATTTTCCAAGGGCGACCGGCGGCTTGGAAACGCTTTGCTCGGCAACTGGCTCAGGGGAACGTGGCACATCGGGGGCCGGTGGAGCTTTGCGGGAGGCCCGAGTTGGCTTTTGGTGGATGACAGAGTCTTCTGATTCGGCAACCATAGACTCGTTGGCCGCAGTGGCTGACCCCGATATTGAAGAAGCTAAGACGCGTCGCCCAGTTCTAGTGAAACAGCATGGTGGTCAGCAGTAGAAGAGACGGCAGCAATCAATAATTGATCACACTTACTTTGGTGCAGTAGAAGCCTTTTTCTTGCTGCGAGAGCTCTTCTCTGTCATCACGGAGTCCCCGTGCAGTTCAGCCGCTGACAAATCAGCAGCTGAAGCCTTGATTGAATTTGAGAGACCAGAGTCCGGGGTTTTGGAAGGTTTCTTGGTCTGTTTGCCATTTGCTTTTTTGGCGTTTTCAGTCGGTTGAACGGCAGTGAAGAAAATACAGGCACCCTTCTTTAGATGAACTGAACTATTGTACAGATCAAACAATCAAATCGATTAATCACTGTCAGTCAATCATTCGTGTCGTGCAGCAGCCAAGCCAATCTGGGGGGGTTACGAACACTGGATCATCATCTACTTCCCACTCAGTCACACTCCGGTGGCAATAACAGCATGAAGTTGTATCATCGACATCAAATTTGCGCCCTTTTTTGAACAGGTTGGGAGTAAAGTGAAATCCAGCGCGAGCCAGCTAATCGACCGAATAATACTTGAGGGTCAGGATCTGTAGTGGTTGATGATAGGTTGATCGAAGGAAGTACTCACTTCTAAGCGGGTAGGTATCCCATTCTTGCCTTCGTGCTTCCAAGGACCGTCTGGGCCACAGAAAGTGGCTAAGCGGGCTTCGATCATAGTTGATCCTCGAGGAAACCATTCTTGACTAGGACCCCAAGACTGGGTAGGCGAGTCTGACCACGAAGGTTTCTGGGTATCTCGCTGATGTTCTAGTAGGGCTATCCGAGCAAATGGACACTTGGAGCCTGCGCATAAGCAGCACGAGACCAATAAAAAGCCAACGTAGGTGATCAATTCTCAGATATCCTGCTTTCAAACGAACCAATCGGCACCACTTACTCCAAGTGAGGTGCAACTCCCAGGGATCATCATCTTCAGCCCATCCTTTCATAGATTCTCCACACATCCAACAGGTCGTCCTATCTGGCTCGTTATCAGCCGGATCATGAAAATAGCCAGCAGACGCTAGGACTTCGGCTGTCAGAGAGAAGGATTGCGGGTGAGGCCATCGGGAAGCTTTGGGGAGTGTTTTCTTGGATTTGAATGACATGACTCGGGCCGAATGAGAGCAAAACTCAGGCCTGAGACCGGCCATGTTAATGTTTTCTTCCATCGGATCCTCTTCTGTCGATTGGCTTGAGTCGGCAGGAGGCTGGACGCTCGCTCGATTGCTTGAACTGTTTTTCTCTATTTTCTTGAGCTTGATGATTCGGAATTGGTGCGGAGGCGATGTGGGAGAGATGAGTTTGAGGTGCTTGCTGAGTATTTATGGTGGGGTGAGTGTATGTGGTCTTCAGTCTGAGTGGTCCGTCCAACTGAGTGTTTCAGTGGTGGTGGTGGTGGGAGCGGGCGTTGGAGAATGGACAAACCCAAAGCTGGACGCGCAGCGCGCCGCGACTGAGTACAGCTTTGCCTGGAAGTGGAGTGTCCACATCCCACCTAGACTTGAAGGCTTGCTCAGCCTCAGATGAGGACTCATTCCCAAAATCAGCACTGCACTAGCACAGGAATAGGACTGCCAACCAAAAAAGAAAAAAATGCCAACACCCATCAAGGCCCCTAGGTTGAACGGATTGGATAATGGATAGTGGCTACTGATCACTGCGGGTTTGGTTGCAAACTTCAGGAGGTGTAAGATAAGTTTTGTATGGGAGGTACCAGAGAGAAAAGAAAGCTTATGTAATACAAGGTGGGAAAAATGTGCATCATCCTCTGGCTTTTGGGAATATACTCAGATCAAAGTTATCTTCAATGTTTTTTTTTCACTTTGAGATCTATTCTGAATGCCAAGGAATGCTCTGCTCATTTTCCTCATCATGATTGTAGCTTCTTGTCTAATCATCATTTCAGGATCACCAATTATTGAGTCAAGGATCAGAAGACTTTTTTATTGCTAAATCTCCAAAGTAGATATTTGGATTTCATTAAAATCACTTAATCAATTGATCTGCAACATACAGTGTCCATCTCTTACACCATGGCGCGGGATTTTAGAGAGACATCCTGGATTTTTGGATGGTCTTGCATCCTGAGTGCCAGAAAGATGCATTTGAAGCATCCAACAGACACCCTGGTGTTGAGCTCAAAAGTGTTCCTGGGCGCCTTCTGCTGAGTGTGGAAACGGATTTATGAGGCTACCAATGCATTTCCTGGTTCACTAGACAACTATTTCTTAGACCCGCCACCCTTGTTAATGACACACTTTTTTACTTCACTGCAGTCAACAGTGCTTTGACACGGCAGTACTTTTGTGGACCTCCACAAACTCTTCTTAGACCTCCTCTTTTAACTATTGGATTGATATACAGAACTTAGAAAGACAAAAACTCTTTGGCAAAAAAGTGTTGAAAAATTGTGGTTAATGTGGCATCAAGGCTGAGAAACTGACAAAATAACCAAACTTCTAAAACATTAATTATGTACAAATGAAAAGAAGAAAAGGGCAAATGGATTGGCAAGATCTTATCAGGCTAACAACAACTGATTAGAAGCAGGGCTCCTTTGAACGATAAACAATTTGATGCAATGTATACTATAACAATGCGATGGAAATGATGTGTATTATGTGCTGGATTTGAATGAGGGCCTTCTAGACCAAAAAAGAGACAGGACATTACGGCTGGAAGTTCTGGAATCCGGAAGGATACGCGTACTGGTTATAACCGGTTGAGCTGTACTGAGATCCGTTCAAGTTTTGGGAGTCAGGGAGAGGGAGATTATGAGCGTCAAGGCCGACGGGGGGATAGGCATACAAGCGGGGGTCGGAGCCAGTCCAAGCCGGCATGCCCAAGCTAGCGTAGTTCAAGTTTGGATCGACAGTGGGGTCAACCAAAGTCTGCATCGGATTCAGAGGAGCAAAGTTCAAGGACGCTTGCTGGTCGAACAAGCCGCTCAATCGTGGTATGTCGCTCAATGACTGGAAGCCAGGGTCGGGCAGCAAGCTATTGTCCCACGGAGGAGGTACGAAATCGTGTTGGGATAGCCCGTTGATGTCAGTGTTGTACATAGAATAGTTCGGATCATTCAGAGTTTCGAAGGCTGATGGAAACGCTTGTTGAGTGAAGTTTTGGCCCCCGAGGCCCAATTGATAGTTGTAAACTGAAGGTCCTTGTGTGGATGAAAATAACATCTGTTGAGTGTCTCTGTAGCTCTGGCTTGGTACCATGGTGGCTTGTTGCAGTGCCGGAGCTTCCTCCTGGATCGCGTTCAATGGTCCGGATGCGGACTTTCCTATGGCCGCGGCTGATCCGGTGCTGCTCGGTTTTCGAGCGCTGCTTCTCCGGCGGCCATTGATAGACCTTCTAGCGACGATTTGACCGCCCTTGACTTCATCCAAGGACTTGGCAGGTCCGTGGAGGGTGACACCCTTGAGGGCATACATGTCAACTTCGACGCCAGCAAGTTTGTATTCTTTCTTTGAAGGTCTGCCCCTCTTCACAACACCATTGGCTCCGGGCAGCTGTCGGAAGCCGGTCCGATGCTGCTTCCGGGGACCTTTCGGGGGCGCAAAGCGCGGTCGCGATGCAGATGAGGCGGTGTGGCATGATGACTCTGGCTTTGCCGGAGCAGCCTTTTCGGACGCGTCAGCCTGGGATTGGAGTAAGCTGTTGAATGCGGCCAAATTATTCTGACTGAGACCGGTTTTGGATCTCGTGTTGGGATAATCTGTAGAAGACGGTTCGGAGGAACCCATGCTTGAAGCATTGGCCGTTGAGGTGGGCACGTCTCTAAAAACATTCAAGAAAAGCCAATCAGCATCGGTGGGGTCGGGCAACAGGGAAAAAAATCCATCGAATAAAAAATACTCACATTGAGTCCTCAAGCTCGGACAAGGCACTGCTATCGCTGGAATCAAGCTCGGTCAATGCACTGCTATCAGATTGACTCATACTTGGATCAAATTGGTTAGTGAATGTTCAGGTTTTGCTAGGAATTGTTGGAAAGAAAGAGGTATAATAACGACAGTTGAAGGTATGCGCGGTATATGGAAGTATTTTTAATGAATGACTTATCCGGCTGGGATTCTTTTCTTTTGTAAAAAGTCAAGAGGGATTCTTGCGGGTAAAAGAACGGTAGGATTTGTGCAAGGTGATACAAGTAAGTAAAAACTGAAGGTTACAGTTGGGGTGATGAGAGGGCCTGCACGGGAGGAAAGAGGGACGCGACTTAAGTGATTTTGGCCCGAATGCTCCTAAAGACTGTGGCACGCCATGAAAGCGCGAAAAATCATCTGCCAAGCCTCGGGAACAAAGGACGGATGACCCAGGTAAGGGCTGATACCCTACGGAGAAGGCAGGTGGAGTGAAACCTTGTTGGACAAAAGCAGTCGAGAGATTACCCAATCAATCATGCCGACCGGCACTGCCACCGAGGCTTGAGACCATATTCAAGTGTGATCATTGTCTGCTTGTGATTATTGATGAGGATTTCTTCTTTGATGATGGGCGGCGATGGGCCGGTGCATTCAAAAGATTGCCTCATTGGTCATTTTTTAAGCCGGGCGCGTCACCAGCAACAAAAAGCAGATCCTATTGTAATGAGCACCGGCGGTTCGAGGTCGTGGCCCACATCTATTGTTGCCCACGAATAGTGATATCGGCGGGCAAGACTCCCCCGTCCGAGATGGCAGAATCACTTGCTGACCGTTGTGTGTCGCACCCGCTGACCCTTCCTCGGCCTCTATCGCCTTATTATACGGGCCAGTTCGAGTTCAACCGCAGCGGTCTGGTCCAACCGAGACACTTTATCCGTGAGGGTTATCTTTCAAGTGCGGACACATACGCAGAGTCGCTGACAGGGAATGGAGGACTTACCGCTGATTTTACAGCCCCCTGTAAAGCAATTTTTACAGGCTGTAAACCGGTTTTCCTGTAAAACCGACGGGAAGTCCTCCAATAAACCATTAATGGTGATACATCAAATAATAGCTCATTTCAACCCTGTACTCTAAAAGATGCTCTCATTATCATGCTCACTACCCAAACTAAATTCCTCAAACCATCGAATATTGGAAAGAACGTGCCTTGTATTACAGGGATGAGACCAAAGAAGTCTACAAGGACAAACGAACCAACAAACACCTTTGATGAGATCAAGACGTACAAGACAGGGATCCTGAGCGATTGGATATGGGCCTGCGAGATGATTATGCGGAGTATTATCGTTGAAATGATTTGGAGCCGGCTTTCTTACCAAACTGAACTTGACGAGGGACAAGCGAGATTTGTTGAATAGCTTCGATGACGGAATCGATTTTCTGTTGATCGTTCTCCATCTGACTATCATGTTGATCACCGTTTTGGACGGATCCTATGGAAGGAGATCCGGAGTGGTTAATGGAAGAGGTTGAGGCAATCTGAAGTGCATCCTTAGAGTCGGCTGTTGAAGATTCATCCGGCGATGATGGATTCGAAGACACAGTTGCAGCTTTCCATTCCGGCCTGACCAAGGATACACCTGGCCCAAATTTCTTGTATAGATTGTTTAGTCCTTGATTGGGCAGTGAAAAGAAAAACCTGGTGTGAGACAAAAGGAAAGGTAAGAAACAAAAACAAGCAGCAGCCAAGATAATTGGCTCCTGGGGAGGTAATGTAAGGAAGCTCACGTTTGTGGGTAACCATGGAAATCTACCAGGTGAAGTCTCCTGGTCTTGGGGCTGCTGAAAGATCTCTCACAACTTGGTTCAAAGCAACGAAACTAAACTTCCAACGGGGGATCATTCGACACGTGCTGTTAGTATAAACAAGATAGAGAAGGTAAGGAAAACGCAACGAGTGACTTACGATCTTAGTTTGTCTACTTTCCCGCTGGACCAATAGGATCGGATTATGGACCTCGTTGAGGTGCAAATCCAGGAAGAATTGGGAAGGAAAGATCCGATGACAATCCGTCGCTGAGCAGGTAAAGGCATGATGAGTTCGATGATGGGCTTCTAGTTCGGTTGGATTATCAAATCTAGCTGGTTTGTGGTTCGGTCGGTTACAGGTGGGCGGCAGATTACAGGTGTAAGAAATCTATCCAAGAGATTGCCATTCGGGTCAGATTTAAGTAGTTCTCGTCAAATCAACCACGAATGAGGCTGCTCAGAGTCACTTACTGATGAGGCTGATGGATCCTCTGCAGACTGTCTGATCGATTTGACCACAGGTGCAATGGTAGAACTCGGTCCATCTTTCTGCTCAGCGAGATGACAGGTTGGATGGTTGTCAGGCGCTAGAGCTGAGTGATCGATTGATGATATCCTTCGTTTGCCTCTCCTGACAGTTTCTTCCATATGTTTCACGTCTCTTCGAAGTTCCTGATCTGTTAATGTGGTGGTTTCTTCGAGGAGTTCAATCACCTGTCTCACATTTAACTCGGCCAGAAGTCTTCTACAATTGATTGACCCTCAGGCCCCCTCATCTATCAAACCAGCCAACTGAAATCTACAACAACCCTAGAAAATCAGGTCGGGTACAGCAGGACGGCTGTTCTTATCCGAATTAATCTGAACATCAAAATTGATTCCAACAAGGTTTCGGGCTCAACAAGAAGTAAAGGACGTTCTATTGTTCTATTTGTGTGTCATGGACAAACAGATCGGGTTCAATGTCACCTTGACCGTGTAATCTCCCGCCCAACTTATTGTTCTCAGTACCACACACACTCTCTCTGTGATGTTACTCGTTGGTCTGATGAATCTGAATACTTGTAAGATTAGGTAGCGTTTCCCATCTTTGTTTTGTTTCTCATCATTATAGTGTTTTGGGCATATCGTATAAACTGAGTCAATGGAAGAGGGCATGGTGATCGACTTGCGAGCAATCGAGGTTGTAGGGCTAGAAATGGCGAGCAAATTTACCGCCAGTCACTCCTGGCAAGAGAATAAAAGCATGATTTGATTACTTTTAAAACACGAGAGCAGCACCCTTTGTCTTCTTGTCACCACCGAGTTCAAAGCTGTGAAAAAAAAAATTATCATCAGCCGCACGTCAACAAAACCTGGCGGAGGTAGCAGGATGAAGTGATCGGTAGAGCAGTGACTTACTGTTTGCATCGTTTCAAGGCAACCTGCTTTTTGTATTTACATACTGTGCATTCCATTCGAAGAACGACCTTCTTGGTGGTCTGTGGGGAACGAGGGATTGCATCAGACAGGTGCGTCCGATGGATGTGTTGAATTAGACACGAACCTTGGCCTTCTTGTGGAACACAGGCTTGGTCTGTCCTCCGTATCCGGATTGCTTTCGGTCGTAACGACGCTTACCCTGTGAGTAGTATGAATATTTCAATCAGTGGGTCTGGAAGGAAGCTAGGAGAATCCACTCTATAAGGGACCAAGAAATATTAGATACCTGTGCGAAAAGCGAAGCCTTGCCTTTGATTCGAAGAAGAAATGTTGATAATTATCAGCCTGAGTATCACTTGATTCAATAGTTGGAAATTGACTAACCGGTCTGAAGTTAGGTTCGGTTGAGGGGATGAAAATTGATTGATTGTTAGCTGAATCTGAAGAAGGATGATTTCGGATCAATAGCTTGCCTTGTATTGGGTGACTAGCAAAACAAAAAATCAGTCAGCACGATCAAGAACAAAAAAGAAAAAAACAAGATATCCATTTCTGCTTGAATAACAGCCGGAAGTGAGAGTAGGGAGGAGAATTGGTTTCGGGATTGAAGATTGGAAGTTTGTGGCTGACCCTTGTGGGGGGTGTGCTTCTTGCATTGTTTCCCCTTGCAGTAAGTCCGTCGGGTCTTAGGAATGTTGACTTTGTTTGAGCGATCGCGGAGAAGATGAGTATGTCAATCGATTGAACCTAGATCCGGAGAGCCTAATAGACATGATGATTCCTATCAACTCACCCATGATGAGAAGACGTTCCGAGAGCTTTGAAGTGTGGCCGAAGGTTGCCCAGTGTCGTCGTCCTTGAGGTGCCCGGTCGGTGTATCGGCTCGACTGCCCGCATCCAGCACTCGCTGACAGGCCCATGCGCACCTTGCACAGTCTCACCAACTGCGCAGCAGCGCGAGACCACCGGTTCCCTTCCAACACAAACACATCAACCAACAACCGGTATTCTCTCTCTCCACGATGCTCAGGATGTGCTCGTTCCTCCATCATTCAACGCTGCATATGGCGCAACTTTGCGTGAAGCGAACTAGGGTTAAGATAAGACGACGATGGTTGTGAAATCGCTGGGAGTAATCACTTACAACTGCAGCAGATACAAACTTCAACCCATGTGAATGCCCCAGTTGAGCCCAGCCCAAGGAGAAAAACCAAAGGCAAGACAGCCTGGCTGAAAATTTGTTTTTCAAAGAAAGTTGCAACTGTAGTCTAAAAGTGAATGTCTATGATCTATTTGGGTGTAGTCCATGATTCAGTAAGCCAGATTTGCCACACTCACAAACAACCATATCAAGTTATCAATGACAAATGCCACTGTGATAACATCACTGACACACTGGTAACATCTTTTGCATGGCATCAAGCATTTGAGAATTTGTGTCATTCAACAAGAAATTTGAATAAAATGAAGTCTCAAAGATGGTGAGTGGAGGACTAGATGACTTCCTGTTGGGGTCTAGAGCCCTTGAAGAATTTGATTTACTTCACATCAATTTTAACTTCTGGCAAAATGGAACATTTTTTGATAAGCCTTGTTGTGATGGCTGTCATGTGAACTGGTTCAGGTTTTGATTTAAAGTGTTAATTTCAAACTAAGAAGGGTCTAAAAAACCTACTTCCACTTTGAACCATATCAAAGCCATGACCAGTGCCAACAGTGGGTCAGCTACACTATCATTAGCAATGGCAAAATGGAGCACATTGGAATATTGCTAAAACTAGGGACATTTTCTGTTAGCTCTAAGCAGTATGGCCACAGGGTAAACTATGTGGCCACTAGGCAGTTTCACACCCCTTCTTCACAGGGTTTTTTCATGAAAAGCAGTGTAACATAATGTATTGCCACTAATTCTATGGCATTATGAGGGTTGTTTTTGGGGGGGTTGCTATGGTAATGGTTCTTCAGCATATTTTGGTGTAGCAAACCACTGTTTTCAGTGCACACAGCCAGCAGTGGGCCGCTACGCTTTTGGCCCAAAAAGTGTAGCGTAGCGGCACTTTTTTTTCATCAAAAACGTGTAGTGTTAGCGGTTTTTTAGTGGTTTTCCGCTACGCTACGCTGCGCTACAGCGCTTTTAGCGGAAAAAGCGGCCAAAAACCGCTAAAAAGCGCTGTAGCACAGCGTAGTGGGCCCTTTTTTGCCGCCCACATGCGTAGCGTTAGCGGTGTCGTGGCGGAATTCCGCTACGCTTAGCGCTAACAGCAATTCCGCTGCGTTACGCTACACTAACCACTACGGTTAGTGTAGCGGCCCACTGTTGACACAGCCCTGGGTTGCTACTTTACACTGAGCTATCTGCATTATCCCAGTAATGTAGTACTCTTGATTTCTTCCTGGACACATTAGCATTGTCTGTAGTGGGAAATTTTTCTTTCAGTCAGTAGTGTAATGATTAAGTTTTTGTTTGTAATGAACGGATCAAAAAATGTAGTATCACATGATCCAGAGGTTAAGCAACCCTAAACACATTTTAAGTGGCACAAAGCCTCTATTTACGGGCTTTGGTAGCAACACATGCCATAAGTTTCCAAAAAGTATCACATGTCTTGCCAATACTCAGGGGTTTTTCAAAAAAAAAGAATCTGTAAGTTTCTGATAGTGGAATGAGCTTGAAAAAAAAAATGCAAGACAAAATGGATAAAGTAATGTTTAAAAAATTCCAAACATTATGGGGAGAGTAATGATGATGAGTGGAAAACCACCACTTTACCTTTACACTACCAATACAGTCATTGTAAGTTGTAACTACTCAGTATTGGTGCACATGAAAGCCATCACCATCCTGTTCAAGAAACAATGATGAATTTTTCTGAGAAAGTAGACTTATACAGTGTAGAATAAGAATCAAAGTCACTGGAAGAAAGAGTCAGGCAACTTTGTGTAGGGCATGTGATATTACAAAGGGGCCTTTGTAATTTTACATGTCAACTACACACAGTTCCCTGACTTTTCTTTGCAGTGAGTGTCTGTAAGTCCCAAGGGAAGTCCCCCAATCGCAAATGGGGAGTGATGAGAATAGAGAACAAAACAGAAAAAAAATAGGGACAAACATTTGTGTGTTGTGTATCCATTTACATAGTCAGAGGTCAGCAGTAGAGTTGAAATTTGAATGCATAAAAGACAGAAACACATATTTCCACACACTTATTATTTGTGTGCATGAAATTCAAGAAAACTCAGATTTGTAAATTGATAAAAACAAGTTATGAGCCTGCAACTATAATTCATAACATGTCAGATGAGAAAATGGGGAAAGTGAAATTATTCAGGTCTTTATAAAGTTTGCAAGAACATTTTCCCTAAACTTTCCTCTTTTGATAAATTGATTCTACTAAGATTCATGCCATCAGGCATTAGTGGGGTTCATGGTTGGCATTTCTCATCAAGCCATTTATCCCCAACCAGCAGCCACATGGCCTGCTACAGATCTTACAAATATTTAAACACACACTTGCTATAGGCCCGTTCACATCTGGAGTTCAAGGCCACTTTTAACACACTTGAAGATAAAATTTTATGAATTTTGTCAAATTTCATGAAACATCAAGTTCAGAGGAATTTGAGATTTTTGATAAATTTGTAAAATTTTAATGATAAATGTCATTAAATTTGCCTCAAAGTTCAGACATGAACTGTCCTTATGAGAACAAAATCCAACATCCAAGCTGTAATTTGCACACAAACATGAAAATATTTCTAGCAAAACAAGCACCCAATAGCTCAATCATGAACCCCGCTATTCAACACAGCCAGCCACCCTGGCACACTGAACTGAGGGATGGCTCACACCTATGCATAGACAAATTCAGTTGCAAAAATAAAACTGGTGGGAGGATACATATCACTTGTTGACTATTACTCAAAGACTGGAAGAAATGGTGATGATACATCAACGAATCAGAGGATACCAAAGAAAACAAAAACAGTTGCACTTGAGTAAGAATGTGTAGATGTATGGATAAATAGTATGCATGTCTGTATATATAATAGATTTGTATGTAAGAATAAAGCATTAAAGGAAATTAAAAAGAAATGGGAAATTTTTAACTTGAAACTCAATCCCCTCATCAGGAGGACAACAAACAACAGCGAGAACCAAAAAAAGGATAGAGGAAAAAAGGGGACCAAATTGAAGAAAAAAGATGCAAGGGAGTGATTAGTAAAGTGAAGAGAGGCAAACAAAACAGGGTGGAAGGGTAGGGAAGGATGCGCTGCTTTGAATGATTTCAAGAAGGGTGGTTTAAATTCAAGGAGAAGACTGATTGACAGATAAATTATTGAGGATATCAGAGGTGAGTTGAGAGCCTTTGGTGAACCAATCGAGGAGGGAAGAGGATAGGAAAAGGTCTTGATCTTGGTCTAGTTCGACTTCGATAGGATCCTCCATTAGAGACTGAGTTTCAGAGTCGTCCGTCTCTGATGGATGAAGTCGTTGTTGTCGCTGGTGGTGGTGGTGACTGGTCTTGGTCTGTTTGATGGCCTGCAAAAATTCAGTCGACGAGAGCTGGATCCGTTTCAAACTCTCTATCTCAAGCGATGGTCGGCTGGGTGTAGAGTCCGACAGGGGGGTCTGATTCTCTTTTGCTGAGTCATCGGTCTCTCCCTGTCTCTTCTTATCGTCTGGCTCGGCTGGCATGGCTCCAGTAGCAGGACTGGATGGCCCGGGACGAGGACCGGCAGGATCATCGAATCTTCTCGAGATCAGATATTCACACAGCTGTTGGATCTGTAGCCGGCTGAGATCTCGGCCGTAGAGTCTCCGACACTCTTGGTTGTAGTTCTGGTGGATGAACTTGATGATCTCGACGTTCAACTCGAGTCTGTCCGAGGAGGGAATACTTGAGCTCGTGGTAGTCGTCGTTCGACTGGTGATCAGACTCGGCACGCTTCTCGGCTCACTCTCGACTGTCTCATCGGTGTATGCACTGGATGATTGCTTGCTCGACTTGCTACGTGATTTGCTGCGCTTTGGGTGTGAGGTTGATGATAGGCTTGCAAGATCTTTGAGTGATTTCTGTTGAGGGTCTTCGACCAAGCTGCGCGTGTCCTTCTTCTTGACGGGAGCCGAGCTCGATGATCGAGAGCCATTATGATTAGGAGTACTACTATTATTAGGTTCGGGATTACGTGATTTTCGACGATGATTGGACGTGACTGATGGGGAGGGTATTGATTGTGGCTGATGAAGAGTAGGCGCGTTTGATTTTGATTTGGTAGACATCCTTCGAGATGAGGAGCGTGCCCTGAGTGCAATAGAGATGTCGTCGAGAAGCAGCGCATCAGCTTCGCCATTATGGGACAGGGCCGAGGTTTGGAGATCGTCAACATCGAAGGGGCGAGTTGGCTTTGATGATGAAGATGTTTTACTGGATAGCCAACTGATGAGTAGGTCCCAACGAGAGAGTTGTGAGTTCGATTGAAACTGGTATTCTGAGAGAGGAGGTGAGTGGATGCCCTGTTCCTCGTCTCCTTCCTCCTCCTCCTCCAATAATCCGCGATGGTCTGAGTCTGGGAAATATTTATGATGAGCTGGTTCTGCTGAGTTACTCGAGCGTTGTCCGAAGCAGGGGAAGCAGGTATGAAGACAGGGTCGAAGTTGGTCGATGAACGAGAATGAGTTGTCGGCCATCCTTGCCGTATGATTTGGTTTGATAAGGTTGTCGTTCAAATCAACCCTCCTCTGAATTTGCCTTTCTCTCTCACCCGGGCCCTGACGGGGGAGGGGCAATACCCGAGGCGCGCTTCTCCAGCCCGGATAGATAGCCAAATAACACGATCAAACGCCACCATGTCGCACCCACTCCCCACAATTCCTCCAAACAGCTACATTAACCGCTTTAAGAGAGGCCACACAATCATTCGAGCTCGGCCGGGAGCAGTCAAACCTTTTTTGAACTTATCTCTGATGCAAATTGTTACCAATGTCAACCAAGCCCTTAGTTCTATCGATGCCAGAATTGATAATACTCCAGTCCAAGTCCAAGCCGTTACACGATTTCCCTCGGGTGACGTCAAGTTTATTACAAAGAACCGAACCTTTTCGAGATGGCTACTAGAACACAAGCACACCTGGACGCATCTAGCGGATCCAAATTTCACAACACCAACACCAAGGGCTACTTTTACTGTGATGATTCATTCAGTCCCAACAGAGTTCAATACCAAGAACAACAATCACTTAGCGATGCTCTGCACTCAGAACGATATCCCATGCGACATGATAGAAAAAACTAGATGGCTAGGTCAACCTCAAAAGAACGGCAAGAAACACGGCACACTGTTAATAAATGTAAAGGACAAACAACTCGCTAGAGACATCGAACATGGTTGTTTAATCATCGACGGTATTCCGCTCAAGGCATCCAAATACACCCCTGGCCCTCCTCAATGCTTCAATTGCCTAGAATTCGGACATCCAGCTTACTTCTGCAAGACACCCCCACTTTGTGCCAGATGTGGAGGTAAACACAACTCCAAAGACTGCCACATTGACAACCCAAGTGGCGCTTGTTTTCGATGTATCAAAGCAGCACAATCAAATAAAACCTTCACTAGTTTGACCGATACAAAGTACAATCACTCACCCTTTAGTATTTCATGCCCCATTAAAAAGTCCGAAGTTGATAAACACACAAAATTTGCTTGATTCTGCCCATTAATTATTTATTTCACATTTTAGATTCCTACAAATTTTTCCATTTTCTTTTCTTCTTTTCTTCTCTCTCCTATCCAACTTTACAAGAACACTTACTCTCTCACAGTTGATAGCTGAAAATACTTTTTAGACCTATGGGGTGAATTTCTATTAGATAGCTATAGCAGATGGTGTTGGATTGAATAGACTTGTATTAGGTTTCATTAGATTATAGTGTGACATGTGAAATCAATAACACTTTAAAAAAAAAAAAAAAAAAAAAAAAGAGTTCCGGAACAGCTACAGGGGGAGTCCAACATGCCAGCACAGTCAGATTTTAAGTGGGAGCAGTAGATCAACAAAAGCATTTATTAACACCTGGAAAAGGATTTTTTGACTTGCTCATTAATTCTGACTGGCACAAGTGTCACTTCTAGCTCAACACAAGCCCCTCACTTGGAGGTGTGTCAAGAGGCCTCTGAAGGAGGGGGGGGGGGGAGCTTAGAGCCTGAGTCATTTTTTTGGTATGAGAGGTTTTGGCTTTTTGGTGGTGGTGGACTTCCCTCCACTATGATTCCACCTTCCTATTTCTGATGCCCTGTTGTGCCATTATAACTGCATGGATCTTGTCTTCCAACTAACAAGAATTGGGCCTATCCTTGGCTTACTGACCCATCCAAAAAGCCGCTCAAATTTCATGATTTCTGGGATCCAGGTCATCTGCCACTCCTCCAAAAGGGGAGGGGAGTAAAACCTGCCCATTTTTTGGGGCAGGTTTCTCTCCATGCCCCTATCAACCCAACCATTCTCTGGGCAGGTTGACCTCTATGTGTGCGGATATCAGTACACATAGGGGCATGGAGAGAATCCCACCCCCAAAAATTACCCCCCCCAACCCCTTTTGGAGGGGCGGGTGTGGACGGGTGCAAGGGGGAGGGTGTGGGATTATCAGCTTGCCTTGCATTGCATACTGAACCAAATCCAATTTTGGATCTGACAAGCAAAGTGGTCAGTGCTGCCCTCAAAAGCTAAAAAGAAGGTGAGCATGGTGTTATGTGCACAAGAAGATTCTCTAAAAGATGATCTATTGAGATCAAAGATTGTCCAGTTACATGAACAGCAGTTTCAGTGTAGCTTAAATCCATCCAAACTTTTAGCCAAGCAGAATTCTGCTATCTTTGTGTTAATGCTACATGAGCAGGTCACAAAAAAGGTTACATCAAATTTTAGTGGGGTTTTTTTATTTGCCACTAAAAGCACTGTAGCGTAGCGTAACACGGCATAGTGGCACTAACAGCGCACTCATACTGAAGAGATGGTTCACTGCCTTGAGGTCTGCTACACCAACAGTGGTGAGCTGTTTAGTGTGGGGTGGAATAGTGACCCCCCATTTTTGAGATTCACAAAAAGTCAGCAGATTGAGGAGGAATGACAGAAGGTGTACAAAACCTGTTGTTTTACATTCCATGTTCAGGATCCACACCAAAAAGCCAAATTTATTCCCAAGAACCTCTGTGAGACAGAGCCCCTTTCAGGCTTCCCTTTGGACTCTGATTGAAGGCTTTGTTAGGCTTGATTTGGCATCAACTATAATTATCAACATAAATACACACTTAATTTAACATATTGTCTAATTTTCCCAGCTGAAATAGAACATGTCACAATTTATCTCTTGAGATATACACATTCACAAACCTATCATGTGAAGCACATTGCTTCTCACCTGGTCCTAATCAAGCAAGTTGAATATTTAAAAAATTCAATTTGTGGTCAACATAAATTACAGTAATTTTGACCAAGGTTTTCCAGTTGGATTTTTTTATTTTTATTTTTTTTCATATGCATAAATCACATAAACTCAACAGAAATCCACTAGCTCAAGGAGGACTCCCACAGAAGACCTTACTCTGAGCTTGTTGAATCCTTGTTGAGTTGTCAAAACTTATGTGTAGTTTGACAAAGAAGAAAAATACTGATAAAGAATTTTTTTTCAGACATGGACAACCATTTCCAAAGTAGCTGTATGAGTGTACCCTAAGAAGATAAAAATTTGATCAGTCTCAGGGATAGGATACAAATTTATCAGCTCACAAGAAATGTCCTGATTTAAATCAGGTTGATTGAATTGCATCCATTACTTGGTTTCCACACACTGCCTTTGAGTTATTTAAGAACCTCCTACTTCTGCACCTGATTAATCAGCATTCTTGGTGTTTTAATGTTTTCCTATATTTTATAGGTTAAGTAGTTTTATGGTGATATTAATATTTCATGGAAACCATTGCTTTGTATTTCTACACACAGTTTAAAATAATTCAAAAATAAGCAAAAAATCCTCAAAATAGAGCAAGTAAAAATTATGTGAAAAATGGGGTGAGCTCAAATATTGAAATGAAAGCTTTGATTTTTATGAAAAATGGATGATACCATAAAACTCTAAACCTCTCGGAGTGTAGGAAAAAAATATTAAAATTTCAAAAAATAATGAAAAATAAGCTGTAAAAAATAGTTAAAAAAACACACCCAACCATGGAAAAATGTGTGCACTGCGCTGCAACAAAATTGTGTTTAAATGCGGAAAAACTGGGTTTTTTAATTGTGGCCCTACAATTGTATGTACTTTTGAAGGAGGAAAAATATCAAAACAATTTATTGATGATGGAATGCATATTAAGATCTGTTGTGGAAGATCTTTGAAAATTTTCGATTGAAGTGGATAATTGAGTGTGAAAAAACCAGGCTGAAAAATATTTTCCAGTCACGATTAACCTCATAGACATTGATTGTCTTTGTGCGTGAAAGCATCTTGGCTCGGGAGTAGTTCACATCCTTTGCCATCCAATTTGCAATGAATTTCCAAATGAATGCCACTTTTCCAATTTTGTCGGTTTCAAAAATTTTTTTCTTCAGGAGATCTTTGGTATACGCTTCAAAGGTATCCACGGCAGTCTGGAATGTTTCATGTCTTTTCAACACAGTTTCCGTAGGCTGGGGTAGAATGGTGATGATCATATCAACGAAGAAGAGGTAACGGAAAAAGAATTCAAACATTTTAATTGGCATGTCATCAAAAAAACCGGGTGGTTTTGGATTGGTGGCAATGATGCTCCGAATTCTATCTAGTAATACTTCAAAGTCGATCCCTAGTCTTCGCCGATACAGCCATCGCCAGACCATCAAGTTTTTGTTGATTTCTGTCAATTTTGCGGCAGCCAGAGTCGACGGTGTGGCGCTAAGGTCACGCGTGGAGGATTCTTGGTCAGGTTTTATGTATGCAAGCCTCCAGCCCTCCTTGAAAGCTTCATGAAAAATCGCATGTTCTCCAGGTTTGATGACGAGTACCTCATCTGAGTCATTCGATTCTGACTTGATTAGCTTTTCGAACATCCACGGTACGCCGAAGAATTTCGGGGATTGGTCTTTGAGGATCTGACCAAGGACTGTCATATTGAAAACCAAATTGAGGCCTTCCACCTCGACCTCAGATACGCGAATCTTGTCGATGGCCTGTGGTTCGCTGATCTGCGCATTCTGTTGGCCGATCGTTTGCATCATATCCTTGCGACTGGTCCCTACGTACTCGCCTTGGCCGCCAACGGATGCCTTATGTCTGATCTCTTCAATCGATGGACGTTCTTGAACCTTCTGAGCCTGATCGGTGGGCATCTTCATCCTCTTTCTTGAGCCACCGTCAACCTCGAAAATGGTATCTAAGGGGCTCCCCATCGATAATCGCTTGCGGGATACTTCGTTCGTAGCGACTGGTGTAATTTCCACCCAATGACTTGCTCTGATCTCTTCAATCGATGGACGTTCTTGAACCTTCTGAGCCAGATCGGTGGGCATCTTCATTCTCTTTCGTGAGCCATCGTCAAGCCTGAAAAGGGTATCTAAGGGGGTCCCCATCGATAATCGCTTGCGGGATACTTCGTTCGCAGTGACTGGTGTAATTTCCACCCAATGACTTGCAGTGCTTGTTACCCGACTGACTGGCTTGTCCGGAGCCCGGTTGCCTGAGGCTGCAGTGGTTGGAGCCCCCGCTACTAGACTGTTCAGAGCTAAATCGCCGTGTGATCGGACGGGTCGATCTATCAGCATAGGCTCCGTTGTGGCTAAACCGGTTACTTGAGGATTAGCCAATGGTCTGTGAACGCGTTCTTCAATGACAGATGGCTCCAGCATCCACTGGCAGGCTGTGCGGTCCCGCGTTGGCTCATTGGTAGCGGACGCAAATGAAAATTCAGAGTGACTACTCGTAGAATGAAGAGAGATAGGTTGTGCTGAACTAGTAGTGCTCCCCAGACGTGGTTGGTACCCGTCTGACTTGTAGTTGTCAAAGTAGAAGTCGAGGTTAACCAAATCCAAATCCAAATCTGCTTTGCAGATAGCTACTTTCGTCACGAGGATCCATAGGCTAGTTTTGGTCTTCATCGCAACCGCAGAGTTCTTCTCTTCACCTCAGAAGATTTGATCATAGGGAGATTGTGAAGGGTTGTGATCAGAGGATTGGGTGACGGTCAGTCATACGAGATTTGATTCGAGCCTCAAGCTCTTGGTCTCCTGGCCGGGGGCTTGAAAGACCATTCAGCCGATGAAGTTTGCAGTACAACTCATCATTTCGCGCCCACAACAAGATGGAACAGGACATCGAAACCAGGGGTCGAGCATGCCCTTCGGAACAGGTTTCATTTTTGCACATAAATATTTCCAGGCAATGGGTTTCAAATCCTTATGATATACTGACTTTCAGCCTCTTTAAGTTGCAGGTCACTCAAATTCAATGAGTTAGTTGTGCACAATTGGATGCCAAACTTATCACAACTCTCTCACTCCCTGGGGGCAAAGCACCTGCCTTGGCATGGACCTAAAATCTCAATCTACACCACCAGGACACTTTTCGCTCCTCCGGGGCGTCGACGCAACGTCAAACAAAAATTATGGGTCGGGTTGACCAAGCGGTCGAGTTGGCGCTGATTTGTCCGTCACACCGCAGTTGGCCTGACCCAAAGGTCGGCCCGCCTGATGCATTTCGGTCAGGCTGTCGGCATGGTCGGAATGGTCAACCGACCACTTTCCACACCGGCGGTTGTCCGCCAGCCGCCCAATCTTTGACTGCCCGGGGGCAGGCTGTCATCAACTGTCATCTAGACACCCGGCCTCCTGACGACAGCCCTCCTGACCCATGTATGACCGACGGTTTGCCGAGGTCATCACCGTCAAGCCTCCGGCAGCATGACCCAAGCTTCAGCCAGGAAATCCAACTGGGGCTGCATCTCCAGCTTTGGTCAACCGCTGGAGACCAGGTCTGACAGTCCTGCCAAACCAACGCGCTGATGTCTCAAAGAGGCATGCCAGGGCACCTCATGAAAAATGCGGTTGGGATGACCGTTGTAGAGTCGTCGGCTTGACGTCGGGTCCCCAGCCCTTTATGACACTTCAAAAGTGCCTCAGTAGTTCTCTTTTGAGGTGAGAAGTGGAGAAAAATTGGTTTGAATTTTTTTTTTTAAAAATGACTTTGAGAAAAAAAAAATGGCCCAGATATGGCAGTTTTGGGATGAAAACTCCGATATGGCCTCTTCTGACATCAAGTACGCCTGGCCAAGCGGTCAAGCAGTATGTGAACAGGATGGGTACCCTCCTGTGATCGAGCCCGCTGGGTAACAATATTTTTTTGCGGCTCTTCGATCTAGGCAGGATTCCCATAGCACAGCCTGCAGGCCGGAGAGCCCAAATTTTGGCTTCTCACGGCAGAACCTGCAGCTGTTCATGCGGAGTCCAAATCTCACGGACGAATGACAGCAATGCAGGCAACTGACCGCAGACAGCGGGCGGGCTGACCAAAAAGCCCTTGAATCCATAATCTCAGGACCACTCATGGCCCTGAGATAATTATTGGATGTCAGCGGCTTATCGTCGGACCACCCCCATCCCGCCCTTTGGACATGGGTCAACGCCCCGACCACGCCGACCCCCTGGCTTCAAAGCTGCCAATTTGACGTCGGCAGACAGGAAGGTTTGGCTGGGTCGGCGGAGGTCGGTTCGTCCGTCAAGATACCGGGCGGGTTGGCGTCGAGATGTACCCGTGGTGTAAGCTCGAGCAGAAAGTACCCTTTTGCAGGGAGCTTTTTGATTTTTTCAATAGCCCAGCTCCCTGGAGCTCCACATACCTAAATCATGGCAGTACAATGAATTTTGATCTTCTTTTCAATTTGGACTTGTTCTGATAATGATATCCAAATGAGTAACCATTCACTTGAATAAATTTTTGAAAATGTTTGAATTCCATTTTTTTAAAAGGATCAACTGGGAATCTCAGCACTGGGCCATGGCAATACACAGACACTGCACTACACTACACCAAATGACCATGGACTGTTAGTGTAGTGGCCCTCACCTCTTCCTTCTGGCAGTGTAGTGATAGTGGCACAGAAACAAGCCATTGATCTGTGATAAAATTTTGGAAATGGGTAAAATCCATTTCTTTAAAAGCATCCACTGTGGTTAGCATTGGGCTGCTACCAGACCCCACAGAGCCCCTGTTGGACACACATGAAACATGTAGCAAAATCATCTTTTTCCAAAAATGGTACTGATGAAAAATCAAAATTTCGTAGCAATTTCAGTGTTTTTCTCAACCAATATCCAGGTTAAAATGGTAGTTCAATTGCAAAAACTGAGAAAGAATGAGAAAAAAATGGCATTCAATAGCCAAAATAGCAAGCATCCACGGAAGGATATGGGAAAATGGAGGGAATTGAAATCAGAATATTTTTTGAGGTTATACCCTTGGTGACCATACTGATTTAAATGGTATCTTGATTGAATTATCCATAAACAAAACAATTCTGCCATGTAGCAAAGTTGTCTGGGTGCCTGCTGGCAGGTTACAGCCACCCACCCGAGTTCAAATCTCACTCAATTGGGACACCCAGCACCCACTGGCAGGTACCTGTCATACAATGGCACGTACCCAACAATGGTTACATGAAGCCATCTTCAGCATAAGTGCAACATTCCCCACAGCTATCAGAAAAGCTGCTAGCTGTGAGCAAATTTATGCTGCACTGATTTTAGCATTTCTGGGATCTGACATGTATTGGCCAAGACGATGGCCTCTGGACCTCATCATGTGAAAAATACACCCCTGTCGATAGTATACATACTGTAGTATAGTCTATGGAACATGTGTGTCTAGGCTATCCTACAGTATGTTGTCCTATCTCGCTTTGTCTCGGGCCTTGGCGGTCAAGCTCGGTGGGTCCCCGGGGTGGTTTTTTTTTCAAATCTGACTGGATCGCTCGGCCAGCCCGACCCAGAAATTAAAGAATCCCTCGAATCGCTTGTATCACCATATCACAGGACAAGTCCTCTCAGAAATCATCCACCTAGCTGTGCAAGTTCCTGTCGAGATAGATGCCACCAAAACAGCGATCACCCACTATGCGGCTTCAACCCGAGACGGAATCGGATCGGCAATCAGATGGGGATACTGAGAAATAACTCAATCTTCTGCGATCACGTTGGTTGAACTACCGGTCTGGGATGAATCATACCCTCAGCAAGCTCATCAGCCT